TGGTTCTGTGAATTCTATCTCAAAAGTTTTTTTCCCCCAAAAGGTGCAGAAAAAAATATCTGGTAAAATTCAACAGCCATATATGATTCAATAAACAAAAAAATAAAGTCTTCAGAGAACTAAGAATAAACCTGATTAAGACCATTTACAAAAAAAAGCCTACAGCTAACATACAAATGGTGTAGAATGCTTTCCTTTAAGACTAGGAGCAAGGCATTATTCATTCAGCACTATAGTTCACTGTGCAATAAGGCAGTTGGGGAAAAGGCCCACAGATTGGAAATAAGTAAGACAATATCTGTTTGTAAATGATATGATTGCCTATATAGAAAAACCAAATAATCTAAAACTACTAGAACTAATAAGTGAATTTAGCAAAATCAGTAAGCAAAAGTTGACTGTACTTCTCTATGCAGTAGCAATGAATATTTAGAAACAAGTTTTTAAATCACCACTTACAGTAGCACCAGAAAACATGAAATCTAACAAAAATATGTAAGATCTGTGCTGAAAAGTAAAAAACTGATGAAAAAATAAAAGAACCTTAAAAAAAGAAGAAATACCATGTTTCATGGATTAGAAGATTCAATATTATTAAGATGTCAATTGTCCCCAAATTGATCTATAGATTCAACACAACGCCAGTCAAAATCCCAGCAGGAATTTTTATAGAAATCAAGCTGATGATAAAACCTATATAGAAAGGGGCAACTAGAACAGCCAAAACATTTTTGAAAAAAGAACAAAGGACAGGGCATGGTGGCTCACGCCTATAATCCCAACACTTTGGGAGGCCAAGGCAGGTGGATCATGAGGTCAAGAGATCGAGACCATCCTGGCCAACATGGTGAAAACCCATCTACTAAAAATACAAAATTTAGCTGGGTGTGGTGGCATGCACCTGTAGTCCTAGCTACCCAGGAGGCTGAGGCAGGAGAATTGCTTGAACCTAGGAGGCAGAGGTTGCAGTGAGCCAAGATCGAGCCACTGCATTCCAGCATGGACAACAGAGCAAGACTCCATCTCAAAACAAAGTTGGAAAACTCCCACCTAATTTCAAGACAGATAAAAGTAGAGTAATTAAGACAGTGTGTTAGTGGTGAAATGATAGATCCTATTTATCAGTGGAAGAGGATAGAGACCCCAGAAATAGACCCCCGTATATATAGTTGTTTTTTTTTTTTTTTTACAATGGTACAAAAGTAGTTCAATTGGGATAGTTTTTTAAACAAACAGTGCTGGCATATCCATATGTAAAAATATGAACCTCAAGGCCAGGTGTGGTGGCTCGCACCTGTAATCACAGCACTTTGGGAGGCCAAGGTGGGCAGATCACTTCAAGTCAGGAGTTTGAGACCAGCCAGGTCAACATGGTGAAACCCCTTCTCTACTAAAAACACAAAAATTAGCCAGGCGTGGTGGCACACACTTGTAGTCCCAGCTACTTGAGAGGCACAGGAATCACTTGAACGTGGGAGGTGGAGTTGCCGTGAGCCAAGATTTTGTCACTGCATTCCAGCCTGGGCAACAGAACAAGACTCAGTCTCAAAAAAAAAAAAAAGAACCTTAACTCATATACCAAAGTGAACTGAGAATGAATCATAGCTTACATGTAAAACCTAAAACTACTAAATATTGAGAAGAAAACCTAAGAAAAATCTGTGACCATGGGTTAGGCAAAGATTTTAGATGTAAAATTAAGATCCCAAAAAGAAAAAAATGGAAAAATTGGACTTACCAAAATTAATTCTATCTGCTTTTCAAAAGACAGTTAAGGCTGGGCGCCTTAACAGGCGGTGACTCACGCCTGAAATCGCAGCACTTTGGGAGGCTGAGGCGGGTGGATCACGAGATCAAGAGATCGAGACCATCCTGGTCAACATGGTGAAACGCCATCTCTACTAAAAAAAATACAAAAAATTAGCTGGGCATGGTGGCACGTGCCTATAATCCCAGCTAGCCAGGAGGCTGAGGCAGGAGAATTGCCTGAACCCAGGAGGTGGAAGTTGCAGGGAGCTGAGATCACGCCATTGCACTCCAGCCTGGGTAACAAGAGCCAAACTCCGTCTCAAAAATAAATAAATAAATAAATAGAAATTTTAAAAGACCGTTATTTTAAAAAGCCAGACTGAGAAAAAATAATTGCCAAACACATCTGATAATGCACTTATATCCAGAATATGTAACTAATGCTCACTAAGAAAAGAGCCAATATTCCAAAATATGAACAAAAGACTTGAACTGACATTTCACCTAAGAAGATACACAATGGCATATAAGCAAATGAAAAGGGGTGCCACATCATTGGTTATTAGGAAAATGCAAGTGAAAATTACATTCTAAACACCTATTAGAATGGCTACTTGAAAACAAAGTAAATCCTGACAATGCCAAATGCTGGGAAGGAAGTAGAGCAACAGAAACATTGATATGTTGTTGGCCAGAATGCAAAACAATAGTCACTTTGCAAGCTCTGGCAGTTTGTTACAAGGTTAAACATACACTTACCATATGAACCATCTCATAGTTACAGCACATTTTTTTCATTAATCAGTCTATGGACATTTAGGTTTTTTCCCACTTTTTGGCTATTATAAATGAAGTTCGTGTACACATTTTTGTGTGGATGTTTTCATTTCTCTTGGGTATATGCCTAGGAGTACAATTTGCTAGGTCATAGGTAACTATATTTAACCTTTTGAGGAACTGCCCGGCTATTTTGCAAAGCTGCTGCACTAGCAGGACTATTTCACATTCTCACCAACAAAAGTGTATGAGGGTTCTAATTTCTCCACATTATTGCCAATACTATGTCTTCTTTTGTTTTTTTTTTTTTTTTCCCCAGAGATGGGGGTCTCACTATGTTTATCGCCCAGGCTGGTTTTGAACTCTTAGGCTCCAGCAGTCCTCCCGCCTCAGCTTACCAAAATCCTGGGAGTTGAGGCATTAGCTACTGTGCCTGGCCATGTCTTATTTTTTTTGAGACAAAATTTTGTTCTTGTTGCCCAGGTTGGTATGCAGTGGCTCAATCTCAGCTCACTGCAACCTCTGCCTCCTGGGTTCAAGCACTTTTGCCTCAGCCTCCTGAGTAGCTGGGATTACAAGCATGCGCCACCATGCCCAGCTATTTTTTTGTATTTTTAGTAGAGACGGGGTTTCATCATGTTGCCTAGGCTGGTCTCGAACTCCTGACCTCAGATGATCCACCCACCTCAGTCTCCCAAAGTGCAGGGATTACAGGTGTGAGCCACCGCACCTGGCCTCCATATCTTCTTTTTTTTTTTTTTTTTTTTAATTTTTTATTGGATTTTAGGTTTTGGGGTACATGAGCAGAGCATATAAGACAGTTGCATAGGAACACACATGGCAGTGTGCTTTTCTTTCTTTCTCCCCTTCACCCACATTTGGCATTTCTCCCCAGGCTATCCCTCCCTACCTCCCCCTCCCACTGGCCCTCCCCTTTTCCCCCCAATAGACCCCAGTGTTTAGTTTATAATAGCTGTCCCAGCAGGTGTAATATTTCATTGTCATATTGATCAGCATTTTCTGGCTAGCTGATGTGAACATATATTCATGTGTTTTATGGCCTTGTGCATATCTCCTTTGGAGAAAAGTCTATGCATATTCTTTACCCATTTAAAAATTTTGGTTATTTGTCCTGTTATTATTGAGTTATAGGAATTCCTTATAGATTCTAGATATACTAACTTTATCAGATAAATGATTTGCAAACATTTTTCCCATTCAATGGATTGTCTTTCACTTTCTTGATGGTATCCCTTCAAAGCACAAGTTAATTTTGATGAAGTCCAATTATTTTCTTTTGCTGTGCTTTAAGTGTCTTAAGAAACCATCACCTGGCAGGGCAAGGTGGCTCATGCCTGTAATCCCAGCACTTTGGGAGGCTAAGGCAGGCAAATCATGACGTCAGGCGTTCGAGACCAGCCTGACCAACACAGTGAAACCCCGTCTCTACTAAAAATACAAAATTTAGCTGGGCATGGTGGCACACACCTGTAGTCCCAGCTACTTGGGAGGCTGAGGCAGGAGAATCGCTTGAACCTGGGAAGCGGAGGTTGTGGTGAGCTGAGATTGCAGCACTGCTCTCCTGCCTGGGCAACAGAGTAAGACTCCTTTTAAAAAAAAAAAAAAAAAATCTTGTGCCAATCTAATAGTAAAAAAATAAGTAAAAATAAAAGAAACTACCACCTAATCCAAATCTCAAAGATTAACTCTATATTTTTCTAAAAATTGTGTAGACTTACCTCTGATATTTAGGTCTTTGCTTCATTTTGAGTTAATTTTTTTTGCACATGGATATCCAGTTCTCCTAGCACTAGTTGTTGGAAAGTAGGAGGATAAATTTTTAAAGGGAACGTTTTTCTCTGAAGAAAAAAATGGCAAAGATGTAAAGTAGAAATTATAACCAAACTGCCCTAAATCAAATATGAATGAATAATTTATTTCACTGTAAAGCATATCATATCAAATAAGTCTGGTATAAGACTCCAAGCCCTTCACAAGTGCAGGAGCAATTAACTGGGCTAAAAGTAGTGATGAGACTATTCTTATCTTCTTATCTAAGAAAAATCTCTGACCTTCAAATTTTTCCATATTCATTGTCTCAACTGACCATCTTTTTCCAATTTATCTAGCACTTAAAGGAATAATGCAAAACACTGAAATGCAGACATTTGTACATTAGTTAAATATAACAGCAAAGGGCATTAGATACTATATGTATGGACCTTGTTTTACATAAAGATCAGGTACAGAGCTTGGATTTATATAATCAATAAGTTAAAGCTGGTGATTTACAAACAGGCTTCCTTTAAATAAGATTTATCCTGGTGTATTTAAATTCAATTCTATTTACAAACAACAAAAAGCACAATATTCAGACCTCTCAGCAGTAAGTTTTGTATAAAATAAAGTATAAATTGGTTATTACACTTCAAAATTTAAGCCTTTGTTTGAGGTAGAATAAACAAACATCAAAATACTTTTTAAGGGGAATTTTAAATAATATACATTCGTCTTGTCAGTCATCTTTTGTAATTCTAAGTTTTCCTATTAGGATTAACTGTACTTTGTGAACACTTATTCCGTGACAAAAAAGGAGATGTTTACAAACACAGGTGAATAATGTGCTTGTTTCTTCTGTCCATTAAAATACTCCCATTTCTGAAAGTAGAGTTACCTATGTTTTTCTATTTCTCTTTTCAAATGTGGATGTGAGTGGAGAAAATTGTCCTTAGTATGCTTCCTTTCAGATTAGGTTTCTCCCTGTTTTCTGATGAGCATTGAGTTCTTCCAAGAGAAGTCAAACCTTGTAAGTATCCAGCTTATTATTCAAAAGTAGTATTTCAAAGTTCAGGGATAATGGAGAGTGAAAAACACATTAGGTATGTTATTTCCAGACTGCACTCCCCAGCATGGCTGCCTGACAAAGTTTCAGTACTTCTCTTTTAGGGTATCCTGGGACAAGGGGATTTTTGTAGTATTTGATATTTGCTTGAGCCTAATTTTCAAACTACGATTTAATTTTCATATTTAAGTAAAAGTTATCTTCAAGGTTTTATAGGTATTGTCAATTTTCTTAAGAATTATAAACCAAAGATCTTTTAGAAATGTAGTCTAGTCATAAAAGGAGTCAATGTTGGCCGGGCGCAGTGGCTCAAGCCTGTAATCCCAGCGCTTTGGGAGGCCGAGGCGGGTGGATCACGAGGTCAACATATCGAGACCATCCTGGTCAACATGGTGAAACCCCGTCTCTACTAAAAATTACAAAAAATTAGCTGGGCACGGTGGCGCGTGCCTGTAATCCCAGCTACTCAGGAGGCTGAGGCAGGAGAATTGCCTGAACCCAGGGGGCGGAGGTTGCGGTGAGCCGAGATCACGCCATTGCACTCCAGCCTGGATAACAAGAGCGAAACTCCGTCTCAAAAAAAAAAAAAAAAAAAGGAGTCAATGTTTTGATAACTCATAGTTTTTCTTGTTTTCGAAGCAGATTGAACAAGTTAAAACTGTGTCCAGTCACACTGCTTAGTGTTATAGTAGTAAATTCAAAGACAGTACCTATTGGTTAATCTGCTTTTACTGACATACTGCTTCCACATTTTGGAAGACGCTTAAATGCTGCAAGCCATACCAAAAATATAAGCAGATTTTTGTGATATGCAGAATTAGTAATTTTAATAAGTCAGAATTGCAAACTTGTCTACTGTGCAGAATGGTCAATTTGTAAAATAAGGTAAATTTAACTTTAAAAAATGTTGACTGACCGGGTGCAGTGGCTCACGCCTGTAATCCCAGCACTTTGGGAGGCCAAGGCAGGAGGATCATGAGGTCAAGATTCAGACCATCCTGGCCAACAAGGTGGAACCCCATCTCTACGAAAAATACGAAGATAAGCAGGGTGTGGTGGCACGCACCTGTAGTCCCAGCTACTTGGGAGGCTGAGGCAGGAGAATCGTTTGAACCTGGGAAGTGGAGGTTGCAGTGAGCCGAGATTGTGCCACTGCACTTCAGCCTGGCTAGAGAGTGAGACTTCATCTCAAAAAAAAAAAAAAAAAAGTTGACCAAGTATTTTTAATTAAAATATTAATATATTTTAGGTCTCTCATTTGAATGGATATCCATCGTTACTTAGCAAATGCCTGAATTTACTGGTATTAGCAAAACTTGAACATTTATAGTCTGGTAGAGATGACCAGTGTTTCCTTGATAAGGTATTCATATCAGTTCTTTCTGAATGATGTTTTAAAGAGTTCTGTGCAACATTGTTAGCTCTGATATTTAAGAAACAGATTATTATATCCTTTAGCAACTTAACAAAGTGATTGATAGCACACACTTCTCCATCAAAGAGATGCTTATTCAAATCTACAAAAAGATAAATATGCCCAGAAAGCTCACATAATATTTTCTGTTGAAGATACAATTCCCTCTGTTTAGGAACTAGTTCAAAAATTGCCATTCTTGAATAGGTTCTTAGAACCCGCTCACAAATATTTATGACCTGACATAGACTTTCTGAGGGAAAATGCAAACCATTCTTCTTTTTAACAAATAATAGTGACCCAATTTTAGAGGCTTTGAGATCCGATGCATACAGTGCTGTGATGCAGTCCTCACAAGTTAAAAGAGCTGATAACTTTTCTGCAACATTACCAGCATAACAGATGAGATTTCGTCTATTATCTGATAGGTCTAATAATGCCTCACTTAGTGAACAATTAGACCAGTCTTGACAAATGCCCTCTTCGTGAAAGAGAGTCTTTGTAACACTGACACCATACTGACGCTGAACTGCCCAAAGGGCCAAGTCTTTCCTTCGAGCAACTGAAATGTCAAAGATGCTTACTTTGCTTAGAAAAACTTCATCTTGAAATGTGTATCTGGTCTCCAAATTATGGTAAGCTTTCTGGAATGCCATGCAGGTAGGGCTAGAACTCGTTACTAATACCTGCCTAAGCATCTTTAGAAATAATTCCAGATGATCGTGACTGAATTTGTAAGTCAGAAGATAAGGAAAAGGTGTGACCTCTGGGAAAACATAATTTTGGTAGAGCCATTTTAAGCTCTCAGCATTGAGCAAAAATCCCAGGAATCCTAGTTTTTGCTTACCTTGAATTATTTGATTATTGCTAGCGTCAGATAACGTAACAAAAATAGTCTTGGCTTCAATCAACACATGGTTTATTTTACTGTAAGTTTCAGGCAACAGAGGCCCTTTAAGCCCCTTTCCATAACAGTTTCTACTATTAAAAATGTCAAACAGATTGTTAATTAAACGTAAAAAATGGATGGTACCAATACAGTTTTGAAAAGGCGGCAGGCCTAAGGATAGCAAATATTCTAATGCACTGGCTACACTCTCACTAAAGAGTTGGGCAGCACAATTCACTTTCAGTACATGATTTTTCAAATTTGCAGGTGTACTTGGAATTCTTTCCATATTTGATAATTCCTGTTCCTCTAGTGCTACTAACTCCACGAGGTGCTGCCAATGTGCTATGCCATTAATAAACTGAATGCTTTGAAAATTCTGAAATGCATTTCTTATTAATCTTAGCAAGTGGCAAGAATCAAAGAAGTATGCAATTTGTTGACTACAAGCTGAAGGATGCTGAAATGTACATTTCATATCATCTCCATCAATATGTATCCCCAGCGCTTTTGCCATCTGAACACTATGTGCTGTGGCATCAGATGTAACAGCCAGAACTGTGATTCCTATGTCACTCAGTTTACCAATAGTCAGCCGAAGCAGCTGAGCTTGCAAACATCCAGATGCTCTGTTTACAAAAAAATAACCAAGAGGTGTTCTCCAATGGCCAAAAATACCCACTGCCATTAACAAAACAGTTTCTGTAGCAAGTGGTGTTTCATCAGCATCAAGTTTTCCAAGACCAAAGTCCATAAACCCCTGCAAACTGTGACTGCTGGGATCCCATTGAAGCTGTTGCTTGAGAGGTATACTTTTTATTATCAATGAACAGTATTGATAGAGTTGATCTCCGTTCTGTACTCTTTGTTGAAGAAAAGAAAAAATGTGGCTGTTGAAACCTGGACCAGGTTGGCATTTGGATAACCATCTGGAATATATAAAAAGTGAAACACAGAAAACTTAAAGAAACAGAAATAAAAAGGTAAATAGGAAAATGACTTAAGCAGTACTAAAGTAGTCTCCCATCCCTATAGAAATAAAGCCAAGTATATAAGAAGCCAAATTCTATAGACATTTTCAATGGTATAGTCATAGTTACAATGAAATAGTAAGATAAGAGAAACTTAGAAACACAAAGTAGTATTTTAAGATACAAACATACAACATATATATATATTTTTTGTAGAGACAGTGTTTCACCATATTGGCCAGGTTGGTCTCAAATGCCTGACCTTGTGATCTGCCTGTCTTGACCTCCCAAAGTGCTGGGTTTACAGGCATGAGCCACCACGCCCAGCCTTAAACTTTTTTTTCTCTGCCTGGGATTTGAACCTATGACCTTCCTATTCCTGTGCTCTACCTACTGTGCTACCCTCCTAATGCTCTAGCCTTATTCCTAACACTAACCCTACCTGGGATTCGAATCTACACCCTAGCGACTCCTACACCTATGCGCTCATCACTGCGCTAGCAGGTTGCCTTTTATTTTTCTCATTTATTCTTTAAAAAGTAAACGAACCAACTAACCAGTTTGTTCTAATTGATCTTTTTATATTGTAAATCATAACCCAGTCTTAATTGTAAATTCACTGAAATGAGAAAATTGCTGGATGGGAAGGAACCTTTGACAACATCTAGTACATCTACCTCATTTTACAGACTAGGAAACTAGAACAGAGGGAGAGGTTAAGCTACTTGGCCCATAATGTACTGTTAGTTATGAACAAATGTGAAACCCGGTTTCCTGATGCCCAGGGGTTTACTGCTTTTCTCACTCTTTACATCCTCAAAATTATGCCCTTAAAGGCATGTAACTTTTGTGCATCTGTGCCTCTATACGACCCACCTGCACTACTATCTTAGGAGTTCTTTCATGGTATCCCTGTTCTCAAGACTGCTAATTATTTTCTTCCTATTATGGTGTCTATCTTTGGAATTCTTACTTCTAATTTACTCTTTCTAACTTGTTACAGATCAGGAAAAAAAACAGCCATATTTAATAACTCTACAACTAAAGGGATTCTGAGGGAGAGACTGGGATGTTCACCTGTAACTAACATATACATTTGTAACTCAAATGCCTTTTGAGTTAAATTTCTGATTTTTTGGCTGTATTTGAAGGCAACCAAGCTTCTTACTGGACAGCTGACTGCTACTTAATTGAGAGTTTAATGTTCTTCCCTAAGTATTTTGGGATAGGGCTTTCCAAATATTTTAGGTGCCATCTAGAAGTTTCATAAACAAAATTCACCCTTAGCACATACCATAAACTTTCACATATATGCAGTATGTATCGCACACACACAGAGTAAATTTTGAACTTTTTTTCGACCAAATGCATGGAGGGAAAATACAGTATTTATAGGATGCAAAGCTTGCATATACAGACAGCCAACTTTTCATATACGTGGGTTCTGCAGGACTGTCTACAGGACTTGTGTATGCATGGATTTTGGTATACTGGCACAAGTTGGGGGTGTCCTAGAACCAATCCCCCACATATACTAAGGAATGACTGTAATAGTTTATAAGTATAAATTATAAATATATACATATACATATATGTGTAAGGTCTTTTAGGCTGACTGATGGTGCCATGGATGCCATGTTAACCTCTGTGACCTGCACAGACACTCCAGATGAGTTCCTAGAAAATCTAAAGTAAATGGAAGACCTTGAAAAGAGGAAGAAATGATCAGTCCCTTCTGCATCTACTTAACTTTGAGACATTCTCTATTGTTCCTTATTCCTGCCCTAATTGATAAGGCCATTGGAGTTTGTAACCTTGGTCAACCTTGTCACTCCACACCCTACGACCCACTCCCAGCTTGCAAAAATAGCCCTACACCGTAACTTTCTACTGTCCACCCCAAACCTATAAAACCAACTCCTATCCCACCATCCTTCACTGACAGCTTTTTTGGCCTCAGCCTGCCTGCACCCAGGCAAATAAACAGCCATGTTGCTCACACAAAGCCTGTTTGGGGAAGTCTCTTCATTCAGCACACGTTTTAACGATACACACACTTAAATGGCAATTATGACCCACTAATTTCATGATGCATTAATAGATTTAAAAAACACACAGGCCAGGAATGGTAGCTCACGCCTGTAATTCCAGCACTTTGGGAAGCCAAGATGGGCAGATCACGAGGTCAGGAGTTCGAGACCAGCCTGACCAACATGGTGAAACCTCATCTCTACTAAAAATACAAAAATTAGTCAGGCATGGTGGCATGTGCCTGTAATCCCAGCTACTCAGGAGGCTGAGGCAGGAGAATTGCTTGAACCCTGGAGGCGGAGATTGCAGTGGGCCCAGATTGCACCACCACACTCCAGCCTGGGCAACAAGAGCAAAACTCGATCTCAAAAAAAAAAGAAAAGTAGTACGTATACACCATGGCATATACTATATAGCCATGAAAAACAACAAGATCATGTCTTTTGCAGCAACATAGATGGAGCTAAAGGCTATTATCCTTAGTAAACTAATACAGGAACAGAAAACCAAATACTGCATGTTCTCACTTATAAGTGGGAGCTAAATAACGAGAATTTGTCTGGGCACCATGGCTTACGCCTGTAATCTCAGCACTTTGGGAGGCTGAGGGAGGCAGGTCACCTGAGGTCAGGAGTTCAAGACCAGTCTGGCCAACATGATGAAACCCAATATCTACTAAAAATACACAAATTAGCCAGGCTCAGTGCTGTATGCCTGCAATCCCAGCTACCTGGGAGGCTAAGACAGGAGAATCACTTGAATCCAGGAGATGGAGGTTGCAATGAGCCAAGATTACACCACTACACTCCGGTCTGGGCAACAGAGCAAAACTCTGTCTCAAAAAATAAAAAATAAAAAAGAGAACAACAGACACTGGGGTCTACTCGAGGGTGGTGGAAGTTGGAAGGAGGGAGAGGAGCAGAAAAGACAATTATTGGATACTGTGCTTAACACCTGGGTGATGAAATAATCTGTACAACAAACCCCTGTGACATGACTTTACCTATGTAACAAACCCTTACATGTACCCCTGAACTTAAAATATTAAAAAAAGGAAAAAATAGTAAGACAATGACTAAACAATATAGCAATGCTATAACAACTAGTATATTGAAAACTCTTTTCAAGTGTGTCACCAAATTTTAGTTGTTTAAAATTTATGTTTTTTACATTACGATTCTCAAATTAGCACCAAAGATGCTGTGCTGCATATATAGTATGTTAATAAAGCATGCAGTGTCCCTATGTAAGTTTTATTTTAAATAGGGTAAAAAAAAAACAATTTATGTTGTGCTGAGTTTGATTTTTAAATGGAAATCTCAATGGTATCTGAATATCTACAGCTACTAGAATGATGTCATGAACATGAAGCAGAATGATATGTGGATTTGATTTATGTTTTAAAGTTTTTATAAGAAAGAGTAGGCATACTCAAATCAAGTTCATGAGTTAGAACAGTAGGGAAAGACATAATTGCTCACTGGAATCTCTTTTCTTCCCTGAAAATAAAAAAAAATTTCTTCTGATCATAAAAAAAGCATTCTTCTTTTTGTTTGAGACGGAGTCTTGCTCTGTCGCCTAGGCTGAGTGCAGTGGCACAATCTCGGCTCACTGTAGCCTCTGCCCCGTGAGTTGCAGTGATTCACCTGCCTCAGCCTCCTGGAGAGCTGGGATTATAGGCACACAGCACTACTTTAAAAAAAAAAAAATGCTTGGCTAATTTTTTTTTTTTAAAGTAGAGATGGGGTTTCACCACATTGGCAAGGCTGGAACTCCTGACCTCAGGTGATCCGCCTGGAACTCCTGACCTCAGGTGATCTACCTGGCTCAACCTCCCAAATTGCTGGGATTACAGGTGTAAGCCACCAAGCCTGGCTGACACATTCTTTTTTTTAAAAAAACTAAATACAAAAAGCATAAAGAAGAAAGTACCCAAAGCATTGGCAACAAAAGCCAAAATAGACAAATGGGACCTAATCAAACTCCACAGCTTCTGCACGGCAAAAGAAACAGTCATTAGAGCGAAGCGGCAACCAACAGAATGGGAAAAAATTTTTGCAGTTTACCCATCTGACAAAGGGCTGATATCCAGAATCTACAAAGAACTAAAACAGATTTACAAGAAAAAAGCAAACAAGCCCATTCAAAAGTGGGCAAAGGATATGAACAGACACTTTACAAAAGAAGATATATATGAGGCCAACAAACATATGAAAAAATGCTCATCATCACTGGTCATCAGAAAAATGCAAATCAAAACCACATTGAGATACCATCTCACGCCAGGTAGAATGGCGATTATTAAAAAATCTGGAGACAACAGATGCTGGAGAGGATATGGAGAAATAGGAACACTTTTACACTGCTCGTGGGAGTGTAAATTAGTTCAACCATTGTGGAAGACAGTGTGGCGATTCCTCAAGGACCTAGAAATAGAAATTCCATTTGACCCAGCAATCCCATTACTGGGTATATATCCAAAGGATTATAAATTGTTCTACTATAAGGACACATGCACATGAATGTTCATTGCAGCACTGTTTACAATAGCAAAGACCTGGAACCAACCTAAATGCCCATCGATGATAGACTGAACAGGGAAAATGTGGCACATACACACCATGGAATATTATGCAGCCATCAAAAATGATGAGTTCGTGTCCTTTGTAGGGACATGGATGAACCTGGAGGCCATCATTCTCAGCAAACTGACACAAGAACAGAAAATGAAATACCGCATGTTCTCACTCATAGGCAGGTGTTGAACAATGAGAACACATGGACACAGGGAGGGGAGCACAACACACTGGGGTCTGTTGGGGGGAATAGGGGAGGGACAGCGAAGGGTGGGGAATTGGGGAGAGACAGCATGGGGAGAAATGCCAGATATGGGTGAAGGGGAGGAAGGCAGCAAATCACACTGTCAG